TGAACGTTGGCATGTTGACGCAGGCGTACATTTCGCGACGTTATCATGGTAGTTAAATATGGACGAATACATAACTAACAGAGGGGAATGCGCCCTGATTAAGGCACTTTGCACCAGTAAGACAACCGAAAACGTTGAATTGATCTCCCACCATTTCGACACTGAGTGACATTTGCTCTTTGGAGCTTATAGTCTACACAACTAGAACTTTGAATCACGACCCCGTTGATGCACCAATGCATACTCATAAAGGTAAAGCTAACAAATATATACAAGCTAATTCACCTTACGGATTGAAATAAATATGACAGCATCCTTTTCATGGGATTCAGTGAACTGTTACGGAGGCTACATGTTTCCTGGCAGCTTTATTAAGAGCCCAAGCAGCCTCCCTGAGTTTATGCACCCTAACGACCTGCATGCAATCAATGCCACTGCAATAGAATCATGATCTTCCCATTTTCACCATGAAGTAAGTCCAAGCATGTGCATTGCTGCCCATTGTATGAGTACAGCCACGTCGTTAATGGCACTTCGTACGTTAAAAATTCATCACATGGAGCAGCCGAATAATACACCTAACATACGACGCCAATGGACGAATTCAATGCGCTCTCTCTGCCATAACGCGACAACCAAATAGGGCCTTCCAAATGGTATGTCATAGACCAAATCAGGGTTGGAGTCAACGAAACCAATTTCAATTGTCAGTTTACTGGGTTAATTATCTTCTGCCGCAAAATTGCGACCCCTCTTTAACCACATGAGGACCGATCCACAACGCCCGCTCCAATCCATTCCAAGAACGCCAAAACCAAACGGGCAAAAAAACGTATTTGATTGCAACGTCTCGTTTCCCAATCGAGAAAAATACTTCAGACACATACTGGACAGAGAGCACTCCTTGTGTGTAGCCTTAGAGAGCAGCAGACACACATGCCCGTGAAGGGACAGCGAGCACAAGTGAGCAGAGTTACAACGCAAACTGACTCGGATTGAAGGAGAGAAGTGGATAGAGAACAAAATATGCCAATTTGTGGGAGACGATCGTGAACTAAGGGAACGTATGAAGGATGTACGGCAATGTCTGGCAAATCTAAATGAAATTCTCACCAATGAGTGTCTGTGGGAGTGTAAATGTGGACATGTCCAAGAAGAGAAGTGTGAGTGAGAGCGCACGTGCGCGCATGCAGTCGCAACACGGTGAAGATAACAATGTAGGAACATGTTGTCTTGAACAAAAACAACAGCATCAGATGGACACAAGGAAGTTTGAGAATGCGTAAAGAAGAGTGACAAAACCACGGAGATCGGAAATGTGTAGGGTCTACGAGTCAAGAAGCAGTTTTCATCAAATGCAGTTGGGGAGTGGGGGCAGAGGAAGGTAGCAAGTTGCTAGAATCTGGTGCCAAGGAAGACCGGAGATGGGCTAGGCCGTTATTTTTCTCAGACAGGAGTGAATAACGCATAATGGGCGGTTGATTAAAGAGGCAAGGGAAGTAGGGACAGAGATGGTAATCAACGACTACGAAAGTGTCTTCGAAAACAGCCTGCTTCTGTCTTTCTTCTCTCATTCTCCTAGTAGAGTTAAGTAAACATTAAGTTGTGATATTATTTGAAGAGCTAGAGATGATGAGAAATGACGATGGAAAAGTGAATCCCACGCTGTCCTCTCTAACGACCGCCCATATTGTCGCAACCGCTCACGTGAGAGAAAGCGTCTGCGCGGTCATCGTAATTTGCCTCTCCACCGGGACCTGTGAAACCATCATCCTCACCAACGCCACACCCAGGAGAGAGCTCATCCAAAGCCTCAATTAATCGTAGACCGTCGATGAAGGACAAATGCAACTCTGTCTGGAGAGAGCGAGCAAAGTATTCTGGCGCCCAGAAGCGCATTGCGGCGAGTTGAGACAGTAGAAGACCATCAAAAGCTCCGGTTACTTGCAAAATTTGCCCCAGACCGCGAAACTTCAGCCACTGCGAAACTGTGCTGGTAGACCACGAGCGCACCTCAGTACGCACTGCTGACTTACGGATGCGCAGTATAGCATCGGGCGAAGGTGCTCCAGAAACTGGTCCATAAAAAGGCCCCTTCGGCTGTGCGGTACCCTTTGGCAAACTGCCATCTCGACCAAGACTTGTCGTACAACTAACGTATTCATTGCTTATCTTCCTCAAAGATCCAGGAATAAGTCCATCCACATGATTGGTCTGTGAAGGCGCACCAGCAGATATAGCACTTAAAGAACCTTTCCTGTCATTAGCCAACATTGAACCAAGGGCCTGTTTCACTTCTGCATACAAATTTTGTGCCTGAAGAATAAAATTCTCGAATCCAATGTCCAGATCTCTGCGGCCACTGAGATCAAGAACAACCTGCCCGGCAAGAAGATCCCCAAGCCAGCCGGAAGGTTTGTACTTTGGTTGCAGGTAGACAGGGAGAATGTACCTGGAGGGTTGTTTAATTGATGAGTCACCTCCGGGGATGTTGTTGGAGGTGGTGAGACCGGGACGAACAGATTCAATCTCGTAACGACAACCAGGAGACAGCCGATAGGCCTCAGAAGCGCAGACCACAATAACGCTAGCGGACTCTATCATCTTTCGCCAATGCGGAAATGAGGTAGCGACTGAATAGGTACCCGACATACCAACGGCGGAGGAGTCAGGGAGAGCATTGTCTGAATCCGGTGATTCCAGTGTGCTCACAGGAAGGCCAGCAGCTTGTAGGCGCTCAGCAATCTTCACGGCAGCCATCCGATTAACTGGTGCGAAGGAGATAAGAAAGACACCTTGACCCGGTGAAACAGAGGCTGGTAAGGGAATGGTAAGACGTGCTGACACAGCCTCAAGTGCTTTAGCCAGGTGGCTCGGTAAAGACGATGTTTTGCCCTCCTTAATGAAGCTAGAGAGCCAGTTCCCGATTAGTGAATTTAATTCAGACGAGGGATTGGGCGCTCGTGGATCGAGAGAAAGATTCCAAAGCAAACGAACAGCCTCCTCGGCCTCACGAATCACCATTAGAGAAGGGGTGCTTTGGGTGGCTGCTTCGATCGCCTCCTTGGCCAACTGTGTGATGGTGATGCGTTCGCCAGCTTGATTTACTGAAACTGAGAGGATGTCTGGTTTTATACTATCATTAACTGCCAACGTGGCGATGGCTGACATCAATTCCGACACTTGGAAGCCATGGCAGCGCCGCTTTTCTGATGCCTTCGCCGTCACCACATGGTCAACGAGACCTTGCAAGACGCTACTGTTATTAGGTGGGGCACCATTGATAAATTGTGTCATGAGATTGGTGTCGTTGTCGTTTACAATGTAGGCCAGACAGAGGTCTGAGATACATCGAAGAAACTCTTCCTCTCGCAAGAACTTGTTCGTTAAAGCGCTCTTGACAGAGTCAGTAGAAAAACAGTGTACATTGCCAGGTACACGGGCGATATTGTGAATGATGGATAGACTAGCTTTCACCAGGTAGTAGACGTTTTTACTGGGTAAATTGTCCAAATAGGGCTGGTGGCCGATATTAAGGTTCAGTAAATTGGGAAGACCCGCGTTGGCAAGAGCAGTGGCAAAATCTGGCCATATTTCAGAGAAGTTCCACGTTGTATTGTAGAAATAAAAGGAGGAAAACCAGATATTGTCGTTTTTGAAGACACCCATATTGTTGAGTTTCTTCATCATCTTCGACGCGAAGGCCGGATATTCGAGGCTAGTTAGATATTCGGCCAGATCGACGCGGTATTGATGACAGTCAAAATACAGACGACTGAGCTGTTTCCCAGTCTCGTACATAGAGCGCAAATCGGTCATATCTTCGAGGCTATGAAAGACCTGCATTACGGCGTCGACAAAGCCACGCGCCTCTTCGAGAGTGAAACCCTTCCGACATTGCGGAATCTCTGGAACACGTTTTGATATGGGCTCAGGATGGTCCATGTCCGTCGAAGTTAAGGTAAACAGTAGCAGAAAACTAATAGATTGATGAGGAAATAAAATCCAACGGTTTGATTCGAGTCAATCTGCAAGTTGGTGATCGTTAGTCGATTGAAAAGTTAAACAAGCGTGATTACTGCCACTGTTTATCTGAAGGAAAGAGAAGTTAACCGTATTTTACCATTTGATCACAAAATTAGAAATGACAACTTCCAGTGCATTTAGCAAGCATGCATAAAATCAATCAAAAATCAATAGTGGATTTAAGTAGATTTCTAATGCAAATAACCCATTAAATGGATGAGATGCTTACGCTGATCTTGAAAAAGTGCTAATGGTTATCTGTGTGTACGGGCAAAGGTCTACTCA